TTTCACTGTTATACATCAAATATTGTTCGAAATATTTAAGAAAAACTATTTCAAAAAGTAAATTTAAACACCCTGTATTTCGGAAGCCACGCATTTTTCGACCCATGTTTATAAAGACTTTATGCATTAATTTTAAAAGTTCTATCGAATCTTAAAGTTATGCAACAATAAACTGAAACACCCTGTATCTCTAGGCAGATGAGCTAATACACTCAATAAGGATAGTGAGGAAAGTTTCAATGACATGGTTCTAAACTATTAAAAATTATTGATTGATAGGATAACGACCCCATAGACTAGGATGCTGGTGTTTTGAAAATAAAAACGATGCAACTTTTGTACAGTGAGCTAGAAAACCTTCATAGCATATCATAAGGGTTATGCGACCCTACTGTGGACTGCAGTGGAATATATCAAATTAAAAAAAAATCAATATCAACTTTGTCGTGGTGAAAGCCTGACTCAGGAACATTACGATATTGATTTACACCGTCACCACATATTTTTGCCGCCTTATGTCACTGGAAATATATCTAGCGCTATGCTTAGGCATTTAAATAAGTTAACTATCATTCATCTTTATCTACCGCTTAAAGTTAGGTTGAGAACGCTACCTGTAGCAAATAGTTACCGGTTCGAAATGATAAAATGTATTGTTGTCGACAATAAGTTGGTCACGTCACCAGAGACGTCTTGAGAGTCAAGGTAGAACTTAGTTTTACCAGCATTAACATATATTTTTTGTTAACACGTATATTATACCCAACATTGAGCTGGAGTTAAACGTAATAGACTTCTTGACTTGTATCTAATTTCACAAAAAGTATTTAGCTAAGGAAAACCAAATACCTATATCGAATTCAATTGTTAAAAGCGCAAGATATACGAGTTCAATTTAAAAAAATATTTTTGTAGGTATAATCGCAAACGGTGAAAACGACAGTGGCCATGATGTGACGTCATACAAATTGTAAACAAAGAAATGTCATCCGTATGTCACTCGTGAACTAACGTTGTCTTCGTTAAGTACTCCTAAAAAAATCCTAATCAACTTAAAATGTTATCGATTTATAATAATAATAATAATAATAAATAATAATAAATGGGCTTTATTTCGTACCTAAGTAAAGTACAAAAAAGGCGAAGTGTCGCTAAAATTAGCGTTTTTCAACTTAACCTTAACCTTAACAAAAAAAAAATATATATATAATAAAACATTCTACCAACAAAAATGTATCCATAATTCTCAATAATTACTAAATAATTAACAACACATAACAATTACAAGAATAGTCCATATTTCTAGCATTTTGTACTCATCATCAGACCTCGACTTGTAGTTTTAGTTTAAGCCTCTTTTTAAAATTAAATAACGTATAGTTTTGGAATGTAACAGGCAGATCATTGTATAATTTAATAGCATTGTAGCTGAATGATGTTTTGTAGACAGCCTTAGAATGTAAGGGTATCACTAACATATTCCTATTCCTTGTATTCAGTTGATTTAAGTCACTACATCGTGTTAACTTATTATGCAAATATTGTGGTTGTTTGGTAGCTAAAACCTTATGTGTGAGTGTCAATAAGTGAAGCTTTTGCATGCCTTTAATCTGCAGAATACCAAGTTCCTTAAATTTATGAGAAATATGATCAAACTTTCGTATTCCGCAAGAAAATCTGATGCACGAATTCTGAATACGCTGTAATTTGCTTTGTTCACTATATGATAGAGCTGCGCCATATATACTGTCACAATAACTGATTTTTGATATAATTAATGTTTCACACAGTTTCAGCTTTACTGAAGTAGATATTATTTGCCTATGTGGATAAAACTGTTTCAAAATGCAGTATGATGCACTACATAACGAATTTACGTGTTTTTTGTATTTTAGTTCTGCGTCAATCCAGAGTCCCAGGTTTTTACACTCATTCATTATAGGAAGCCGGCAATCATAGATTTTAAGGTTAATTTCCGTTTCGATCAATGTTCTTTTGTTTTTTGAGCCGAAAACCATAACTGAAGATTTAGATGGATTAATTTTTAGGTTATGCGAGCACGAGATGTCTACTAGCCTTGTTAAGTCTTCGTTGAGCAATGCTTCTGCAATTTTAAAATCTTTGTGTTGGAAACTAAAATAAATTTGAGTATCATCAGCATAGTGATGGATTGTGCAATTATGGACATATTGATGGAAATCCGATATATATAGAGAGAAAAGTAAAGGTCCCAGTATGGAACCTTGTGGAACACCAAAACTTATAGCAGTTGACTGTGACATTTTCGAAGCTGTTAAGACCTTTTGATTTCTATTTGACAAATAGCAGCTTATCAAATTGACTGCAGCATCAGTAAAACCATAGTAAGACAGCTTAAGTAGCAGAATTTCAGGGTCTATCATATCAAAAGCTTTTGTGTAATCCAGCAGAACTAAACAAGTGTTATTTCCTTGGTCAAGGCCTCTTATAACATCATCAGTGACATTGGCTAGAGCAGTTGTTGTACTATGGTTTTCCCTGAATCTAGACTGCATTGATGGAACTATTTCATTACTGAAAATATACTGAGATATTTGTATCTTCATTTCCCGTTCCAAAAGCTTCGAAAATGCGGGAAGTAAGCTGACTTGTCTAAGTTGGGTTACAGACGTGGGACTCGCTACTTTAGGAATAGGTATGATGATAGCCTGCTTCCAAACATCAGGGAAACATGATGTTGATATTGCGTGATTGATTATAAATGTAATATGGTCTAAGAGCAAAGTGAAAATGTATTTTATCATAATGAGTGAGATTCCATCAGCCCCTACAGCATTAGTTTTAATAAATGAGAAACTCTTCGCAACAGATTCTTTGGCAACCTTTTGGAAACAGAATGACTTGGGAAACTTATTGTTTTGATATTTGTTCAGTAGTTCTAATTGCTTTTGTGTCTTGGTTATGATCGGAATATTTGAGAAATGTGAATTTATTTCATCTGCGTCATTGAAGCTATCTGGAAGAGTATTTATAGAGGACTTAATTATATTAAGTTTCCTAAGAGAACTCCATATTGCTTTACTGTTCCTCCCAGATAGGATATATTCCATATAAGCCTTTTTCTCTCTCCGCAGAGCAGCAGCAGCGTAATTACGGAGTTCTTTATAATAGTTCCAGTGGGCAGTTGACTTACTTCTTTTAAACCTTAGATACGCTTTATCTCTAGCTTTATTGATCATTTTAATATTGTATGTTAGCCAAGGAGCTGGTGGCTTAGTAACTCTAAGTGTTCTCATAGGTGCACAATTATCAAATAAATTTAGTATGTTGCTATTTAAAAAAATTACCATGTCATTAACGCTGTTTAATTGAAAAATATCATCCCAATGAGTCGAATGAAATAAATCATAAAAGGTACGTTCATCAAAGTTACGAAAGTCCCTAAACGTGTAAAACTTCTGCGTCCGGTTGCTTAACGTTTTATGGAGGTGACAAACAACAGCTGAATGATCAGATAACTCATGAACTGGAACAACATTGCTGTTTCTTACATTTTCTCCATCTGAGTAGATAAAAACATCTATCAATGTTTGTGAGTGGCTTGTAACTCTCGTGGGAGCATCTACTACCTGCTTCAAATTGAAAGACTCTAAAAAATTTAGCATAATGTCCGTAGCCGATGAATTAATCAATAAATTTATATTGAGATCACCTAGAATTACAATAACATCCGCAGATGGTAATACTATAGATAAGGTATTTTCTATACTGTCAAATGTTTGCAGAATATTTGAACAAGGAGATCGATACAATGCACCGAAGGTATACGTTTTGCCATCGAATCTGAAACTGATCCATTGCTCTTCCAAAAAGGGATCAATATTTGTACGGAGCAACTTGAATTTTATGTGTTCTTTTAGAAAGAAGCCGACACCTCTCCCTCTACCGATTCTGTCCGCATGTATAAAATTGTAATTGGGAATACGGATAGCCGAAGATCCGATATCATCATTCAACCAAGTTTCGGTGACTGCAAATATATCGAAATTTTCAGAAATCACAAAATCCTGGAGTAGACAAAATCCTGACAAAAGCGATCTAACATTAAGATGACCAACTTTCATGTCTTACATGTAAATTAATGTCTATTTGATAGTAAAGAAATAGTATAAAAAAAAAATAAAAATAGTCAGTCCACACTACTCAATTATTCAAAGGAGTACTACGTATATATGTATTCTACAAAAAATATATATATACATACACATATATATTTCTCGTTTTATTGAAAAAAAAACAATAATGGATGTTGGATTCGTGAAAGGAGAAAGCACAAATTTGCCGAAAATTAACACTGATGGTTGGTAATTTTTTGCCTACGACCCAGATTTCTGCTCTGCTGAGCTGAGAAACATCGAGTACAGTGCATCTTTTCAGAATTAATTCAAAACTAAGCTCAAGCTGCATAACTTCTGAATAATTGTATCTAATGCTACATCAAACTGATCTTCGCAAAGAAAAAATTGAGTAACAGTCGAAAGATTCAGGATCCCTTTAACAATACCGATAATTACTATATTTTTTATTTAAACTAGTAGAAGTCATGTTTATATATTTAAAATTTTGAGAGGTTATGCTGCTGTCAGCTGATGTTTACAAATGGTATGACGTCATAACATGTTATTCTATGGAGCAAACATGACGGACAGAGTTTTCGCATGTCCAAAAAAATATATATTTATAAATTAATGTTTTACGGCTCAAAGAAATATAGTAACAAGTTTTGGGTCTAATCAAACAAATTGACGATTCTACTTAAAAAGTGTCAGCTAGCCTATTGTGGCAGGCTGTCAGTTGGATACCCTAGTTTTACATCTTATCTAATATAAAACCTTTATATAAAGTACATTTGAGCAGTGGGATATTGGGGCTATATAAAATAGGATATATGTGTTTAAAGCACAGCTCAACCAATCATCACACTCAAATGTCACGTGCAAGTGAACATAACCAATAATAATTATCAAACTTACCATCTTGAAGTTGCATCGTCCATTTGATTTCGATGTTGAACCCGGTGTGAGTATCCAGACTTTCCAGAGCTTGTTGTAACGTTGGGAAAGGTTGGTGGTCTTCCATATCTTCATCGAAGAATCTTTGGTTTTTGGATTTGGCTTCACTAAGATGATACACCTGCAACGAATGAACAGTTTGAAGGATACTAGAAAAATATGAATGGAAAACGCACCAACGACTTCAGACTAGAACAGTCAATGATTTGTTGTTGTCTCCTTATTCTCACTCCTTATTCTCAAAGTGCACTTGACATACAGTAACGGACAAAAGTATATAGACAAATTAATATTGTGCTGTATTTCTTTTTTAACTTGTTTTATTAATACACCAACCTGTATATATAATTCGTTATAGCATAATACTCACTTATACATAAATAAATTCATTAAATAAAAAATTAATCAAAAAAACTGGAACTATGATGGACAAAAATATATAGACAAATTCTTTTCAACATTAGTTTAGTACAGTTTCGTGTCAGAAGAGGATTAGTTTGTGTTCATCAAGTATTGTGGAATAAGTTGAGTGATTTTAAGACCATGCCGCGTGGTCCAGAAATTTCTTTCGATGTGAAAACTAAGATCATTGAGTTATACAAAGATGGTCAACGACAAGTCGACATTGCCAAAAATTTGGAGCTGAAGCGTGAAGCAGTTTGGGCTATTGCCAATATTTTGAACAAATATAAACAAAAAGGTATCTTGGAAGCCTCTAAGAGAAGTGGTCGGCCTAGAAAACTGAATGCTAGAAAAAGGAATCGTCAGTGTTTCTACGAAAGCTATAAGTAGAAAATTAAATGAATTGAAGTTATTTGCTCGAGTAAGAAGCCGCTAATCTCGAGGAAAAACCGTAAGGGCCGATTACAATTTGCACGGTTGCATCTTGATTGGAGCATCTGTGACTGCAAGAGAGTGTGTTTCAGTGACGAATTCAAGTTCAATATATTTAGATCAGATGGTGTTCATTACGTTAGACGTCCTAGTGGACAAAGATTGAACCCCAAGTACACTTTGCCCACCGTCAAACATGGAGGCGGGTCTGTTATGGTTTGGGGGTGCTTTTCGGGGTTTGGGATGGGACCTTTACATAGAATAGATCGCATTATGGATAAGTTTGTATATACAGACATACTAAAGCATGTCATGTTACCCTATATGGAAGACAATATGCCCTTAGGATCAATCTTCCAGCAAGATAATGACCCGAAGCACACTTCAAATCTCGCAAAGAAATTCTTTCTGGATGAAAAAATATCAGTTCTCAAATGGCCTTCACAGTCTCCAGATATAAACCCCATTGAATAATGTAATGTGAAATGTTTATTATTATTCTTAGCCCTAAAGCTACTTCCTATAGTTTATAATAGTGTCTTACTCCAGTAATAAACAAAAAAACAGTAATTCTAGATTCCCTTAAAATCATAGTAACTGCAACCACAGTGAATGCAACAATAGCAAATGCGAGATAATGACATACAGTTATCTTAACAGAGAAAGTACATATATTATGCCATTTTATCTAGATACAATTGCTTAGCCTTACGAATAAATATATTTACAGACGTCGCTTCTCTAATTTCTGTAGGTAATGCATTAAAAAGTCTCAAACCATCACTAAAAAGACATTTTTGCATATGGGATGTTCTAGCGAATTCTATGTCAAAAGTGTTACGTGACCTGATATTATATGCATGCCTTTCGGACCTCGGTATTAGATATTCCTGCAAGTATTCAGGCAATAAATGATTTTTTGTTTTAAAAATAAATAAGACATTTGACATTTCAACCTTTTGCTGTATTGAAAGCCATCCGAGGGTTTTTAACATTAAATTAATAGGCGTATAACGTGTACAAAATAATATAGTGCGCATAGCCTTATTTTGTAGTAACTGGAGCCTTTGAATATCAGTTTTTTTGCATGATAGCAACAATAATTAAAATGTGGATATATGATGGTATTATATACAAGAAGACGACTCCAGTGACTAAGACTTTCAGATATTCGCCTAAAAAATCCTATTTTTTTCCCATTTTTTTTACTAACATAATCAACATGCAATGAAAAATTTAGCTGAGAATCTAAAACTACGCACTTTCAATTTGAATATTATCTATCTCAATACAAAATTTCTTTTCTAAAAATGTATTACAGTTCTGCTTTGTCCCAAAAACCATGTATTTTGTTTTTTCTACATTCAACTTAAGCCTATTCACACATAACCAGTTATACAGAATTTCCAGTATTAAATTCATACTATCTACAACTTGTCTAAAATCCTTACCGTACACATAAAGCAATGTATCGTCTGCAAATAAGCTCAGAAATGTATTTACTAAAACCCTGTTCAAGTCATTTATATAAAGTAGGAACAAAAGCGGGCCCAACACACTACCCTGAGGTACCCCAATTTCACTATCAATTGAATTTGACGCCACGTTATTAATCTTCGTCACATGACAACGGTCTTTCAAGTAGTTCATAAACCATTCTAGTGCACTGTCTGTAATCCCATAGGTCTGCAATTTCTGGATCAGTCTTTTCCTATCAATAGTCTCAAATGCACGTTGAAGGTCGATGAATACACTTAACACAATATTCCCGTCATGAATGTATGAACGCCATTTCGAACACACATACTGCAGCGCCGACTCGCACGAGTGTTTTTCCCGAAATCCCAAATGTCCCTTAAACAACAGTTTTCTTGCCTCCAGAAACTCCCGTAACTGCGCACAAACCTCGGTTTCCAAGATTTTGTCTATCACTGGTAACAAGCTAATGGGTCGGTATTGTGCTGGTTTATTTGGTGAGGACACTTTTGGAATAGGCACTATAACACTAGTTTTTATTGCTTTTGGAACTTTTCCTGTTGTAAGGGATGCATTGATCAAGTGAAGTAAAGGGTATCCGAGTACACAAAAAGCCGTTTTCAAAAACTTAACAGTACAAATATCATCCGCTGTTGACTTGTTTTTAAGTTCCATTACCCTTTTTCTAAGTTGATCAATGCTTATAGTGTTGAAGCTTGACAGACCATCACTTAACTGTGGCAATTCTTACAATACTTTTGGTATTTTGTCGGCTATTTCTTTTGGTATTTTGTCGGCTATTTCCTTTAAAAATTGTTAAAATTGTCTTGAACAGATCCAGCATCTTCCTCAAATTCAATATTATCATATGACAGAACATTCTTGTTTTTGCTGCCTACAACTTGCTTTAAAGTTTGCCACATTTTTTTGCTATCCCCCTTGCATTGGTCAATAGTAATTTCATAATATTTTTTCTTTTCGTTTCGAATAACACGACCGTAAATGTTCCTTTTTTTCTTATACAGATTCCAGTCTGAATTTAATTTGGTTATTTTAAACTTTTTATAAGCTTCGTCCCTGTCTCTTCGGGCTTGGATTACGAACCTATTAATCCACGGTTGTTTGCGGGTTTGAGTGTTTTCAAGAGGTACAACTTTATTTACAGTTTCTGTAATATTTTTCATAAACTTTTCATATAATAGGTCCACATCTGTTGTTGAATAGTCCCAATCTTTTCCGTAGAGTTCAGCTATAATAGTGTTAATATTTTCCTTATTAAATTTTCGTTTATATTTCATTTCCTCTGTTTTAATCTCATGTTGCACAGCCAATACGCAGCCTATAATTCGATAATCTGAAATTTGTGGAAAATCACCCGTGATTTCTTCAAGCAAGTAATTGTTAGTCACAATTAAATCAATCAGGGTGGCTGACGTATTTGTCACTCTAGTGAACTCTTGAACTATTTGTGTAAATCCTGCATCTGATACGATGTTTATTAATTTTTTTTGGCTTGGGTTCTCGGTCTCTAAGCGAATATTAAAATCTCCCAAAAAAATACTTTGATGAGTTGTAATCAAATCATCTTCCAGTAATTCCTCAAAAAATTGGAAAAATAAGTCCATGCTACCGTTCGGAGATCTATACAGTGATCCAACAATTATATTTTCCAATCCTAGCTGAACATTTAAGCATAAGAACCAAAAATGGCCGTGACGTACGACATTCTTTACAACTGTAGAAGTAACATTGTTTTTTACATAAATTATCGTTCCCCCTGTATGACAACTTTCAGCATGGGCAATGTAGTGACTATAGCCATTAATATTCAGTTCGCTATCCTCAAAATCCTCCGTAATATGGGTTTCATTAACACATAATATAAGAGGATTCTTATCCAGTACCAGCTGTTTCAATTCATCAATATCTAGGGGAATACTTAGATAAGTAAATACGAGATAAAAATTATTCAAACAAGGATGAACTTTTTGCCGCTTTAGAGCAAAAGTGGAGACAGATTGATGAATCTTATATCAAGAAACTTCTACAATCTATGCCGAGACGATGCCAGGCGGTGATTGATAATAATGGTTATGCTACAAAATATTAACACAAACATGGTTGGTTTTCTATAATTCAATGAACTTTGCTTCTTTTTTTATAATTGTTTTGCTTTGTCTATATATTCTTGTCCTTCATAGTTCCAGTTTTTTTCAATTTTTTATTGAAGGGAGTCTAAAGAATTTATTTATGTATAAGTGAGTATCACGCTGTAACGAGTTATGTATACAGGTTCGTCTATTAATAAAACAAGTACTGTAAGTCAATTTTTTGAGAGTTCTATCATTAAATTCCTAGTTTTAGTGTTAATTTTCAAAAGTGCAGATAATCGTGGTGCTAGCTGATTTCAAGACGTTCTACTCCATACATAATTTGCAAATCCTAGTGAAGGTAGGTATTGGTATTTGGTAGACAAATCAGTCAAAAATATGCACCAAAGCTACGCAATTTTTGCGACAAACAATGCAATGTAATATAGGCTTGGCTCATTCTAAACTATTCGAATTCATTGATCTGAACAGCTAAATTTGAAGCCTCGTCCATGGAAATTTTCAAAATCCTATTAGAACAGTGTTTCTGAATGTGTTATTTATGTGCCGCAAATTCTATTTCAATGAGCCCATTAATACAGGAAAGGATAGAAGAACAGATCCCCTATATCAGTAGAAAAGTACCTATAAGGAATTATTTAGTTGGAAATGATGTTCATTTTTATAGATAAACCAGTACCAATACCACAGATATAAGTTT